GATAGCAGTGTTCCAATATCTCAGGGGCTGCCCAAAAGAAGAGGGAGTCAAGCTATTCTCCAAAGCTCCTGAAGGTGGGACAAGAAGCAACAGATGGAAACTAATCAAGGAGAGAAGCAACCTAAAACTAAGGAGAAACTTCCTGACAGTCAGAACAATTAACCAGTGGAACAACTGGCCTCCAGAAGCGGTGAATGCTCCAACACTGGAAGTTTTTAAGAAGAGACTGGACAGCCATTTGTCTGAAATGGTATAGGGTTTCCTGCCTGAGCAGAGGGTTGAACTAGATGACCTCCAAGGTCCCTTCCAACTTTATTATTATTATTATTATTATTATTATTATTATTATTATTATTATTATTATTATTATTATTATTATTATTATTATTATTATTATTATTACTACATCCACAAGTCACTCTGGGCAGACGTAGTCCTCAATTTATGACCACCATTAAGCCCGGAATTTCTTGCCCCAAGTGAAACCTTTGTGAAGTGAGTCCTGCTCCATTTTTTATGACCTTTCTTGTGACAGTCGTTAAGCAAACCGCGGCAGTGGTTAAATTAGTCACATGGTCGTTAAGTGGATCTGTCTTCACTGACTTTGCTTGTCAGGTCGCAAGAGGGGGAATCACGTGACACACACACACCCAGGACACTGTGCCCGTCATAAGTCGGAGTCAGTTGCCAAATGGCCAGATGTTGAATCACGTGACCAGAAGGGTTGTGTGGAAAACAGTTATAAGTCACTTTTTTTTTTAGTGCCATTGTTAACTCTAAATGGTCACTAAATGAAGGATTGTAAATTGAGGTCTAGCTGGACTAGAAGTTAAGAACTGTGGCATGAAAAGCTGGCCAAGATATTATTTTTCCAGCCGAATATTCCCCTACCAAAACCCAGAGGCGTAGAGAAAAAGTCACAATTTCCTCCATCCCTTGTCCTTAAAAATACTAAGATAAAACGGTCGTTATCCCTGGAAGCGAAGGCCATCTACCAAAGTGCCTGGAACTGCAAGTTTAGGGATAGATCCTCCAAAGATTTGTTCCCACACACAAAAAATAATAATAATAACCCACAAACAAAATAAAACTAGGATTCAAGTCTACTAATCTCTTTGGTGAATTCTCTTTCTTTTTAATCACCTTCGTCACAATATTGTTACAAACTCTGTATATCTCATAAATGAAATTAGATAAATTACATTCGTTTCTCAGCCCTGGCGATCATCTTAAGGACTTAACAAAAAACTACAGAGTGCCTTTTTGAAGAAAGAAATTTCTCTTTTGATTTATATAATTTTTCAGGACAAAAACAACAAAAAGAGCAGAAGATAGACTACAATATATATATGCTGGGTTTTTTTTTTTTTTATAAAAAAAAAACACAACCTTACCAACTGGGACTTTATACTACATTAAAACTCTTTAATGACTCTGTATTTATCCATACACTGAATTACAGTGCTTTAGCAAAACAAAATTCAATATCTATCAGTAATTATTACACCGGATCAAACAGGTTTTTTTTGGTTGTTGTTTTTTTCCCTGGGAAGTTTGCAGACTGCAGGTTTGACATTCCAGACTTCTTCATTTTACCTCTTTAACAAAGACATGATTTAAACAAATGACACCGGGGAGGGGGGAAAAAAGTACCCATTTTAAATGCATGAGCTATAAATCAAATTACCTTCAGCTCTGTCCTAGCTTAATGTTCTTCCTCCAACTGTCACTTTTTCTTAAAATCAATTTCAGATGCGGAGCATTGCTCAGTTCTTTTAATTGATGGCAACATCCAGTCATGGTAAACATAACACAAAATAGTTTCGGTAATGAAACTCAATAGAGGGTTGAAATATGTGTGTGTGTGTGTGTGTGTGTGTGTGTGTGTGTGTGTGTGTGTGTAAATTTAGATTTTGGGGGCTGAAAGGCAAAAGTAATCATAGCAGTAGACCAGGTATTCTATTAGACCAATATATATATATATAATATATTTCAACCCTCTATTGAGTTTCATTACCGAAACTATATATATAAAACTATGTGTATATATATATACCAAAACAAATATATATATATATTTATTTACAGGGATTTTGCATAGCAGTAGACAGCGATTAGAAAGCATAATTCTTTTGGCTTCTGTGATGAAAATGGGTGGTTTTGAGCTTTCCATATAAATCCTCCTGTCTAAAAAAGATGGCCAAGATATATATTTTTTTCTCTGAGCCAAAAAAAGAAAGATCTCTCCTGAATTTCTGTACAAAAGCCAGTAAGGTCTACTTAAAAGGCAGCAATGGGATTGAGTTCTTCACTACACTCAAGGCTCTGAGATATTAATGATCATCCAGGGCTGGTGGCAGAGCCACCAGGGACTCCTTCTAAGAAACGAAGCAGGAGGATCCTTTACTGGACAATGATAGAGCAGCGAAACACCTGTAAGAGTAAAAAAAATCAAAGTAGGTGGGATCGGCAGTCCAAACGTGTTGCAAGATTGGGAGAAATTAAAAAAAATAAAGAAAGCACTTCCACTGAAGGAGGATGTCCTAAGGAAAGTTTGCCTTCAAAAGAACATAGTCTTCAGGTGCTACAGCTTCCTGCTTCCCACAGGAATGAACAATTTGGCTTTTTTGACTGTAGGGTTCTCCAAGATCAAGAGTCATGAGATCAAGGCCGTGGCCTTCAAACCTCGAGGGATCCCCCTGGACAAGGAGATCCTCCTGCTGCCCGTTGAGTTAAACAAGAGCAAGGCAGAAGGCAGCTCCTTAACATGGAACCGAAGGCTTCAGAAGAGATGTTTCCAAACTCAACCCACGCATGTTTACTCCCAAAATAATAACAACAATAATAATAACTCTCTTTGCTATTGCCAATGGGGTGAGCTCCCTAGTACGCATGAAAAACAGAAGGAAGTAAAAAGGAAAGCAGTAATCATAGAAAAGGGGGAGAGACCCTTTTAGTGTGCCAGGAGTTCTGCTGAAGGCAAGACCCCAGTCTTCATCAACTGCATTAGGAACAAGATAGCTCCATTTCCTCTCATTAAGTTTGGAAACAGGAAATCACTCTGTGTCATTTTTGATACACTCCAGTCCCTCCCCTGTGATTCAGTAGAGAATATTAGAAGCGTGCCGGACAAAACCGTGCGTGTTCCACAGCTATTATCTTAGAGGTCGCCCTGCACAGTATTTTGATAGGAACACCATCCTAGCTTGTCTGTTACATACAAAGAAAAAATAATCACACACATAGATCAAGAGCGTTACGTGACGTGCACTACAGCCTACGTTACAGGACTTGGATCCCCAGTTTGTAAATGGGTGGGATTCTCAATGGGGGGGGGGATCCCTTCTGATTCCAGTCTGGGTTGGGAGCACATTTTATCCTGAACGGAATAAAGTAGCAAATTCAAACTCATTCTATTTAACATCCTGCTCTGTTTATTTTATTTTATTTTATTTTCCTGGCATCTTGGGAAGCTGCCTTCTAAAAACCTGTTTCTTTCCAACAGCCCTATAAAATCCGAAGCACGGCTCTGAAATACTTAAGGCCTCCTCTCTCTCTCTCTCTCTCTCTCTCTCTCTCTCTCTCTCTCTCTCTCTCTCTCTCTCTCTCTCTCTCTCTGTGTGTGTGTGTAATATCCTCCCCCCCTTTTTTTTTTTGAGTTCAAGGGAATTATACTTTGCTTTTCTCTCTGTTCGGAAAAAAAAGGGATGTATTTCTTTGCCTGCAACATTTTCACCTTGCTTTACGAGTAATCTGTATAGCTCTGGTCTATATCGGCTCACTTCCATTTCTACTCAAAGGTTAGGTGTGTGCCTCTCTCTCTCTCTCTCTCTCTCTCTGATTTTCAAATGCTTGGCTGGGCTAAATCATGCACAGCCTTCAAGCATTGGATTGCAAGTAAAGCACGGAATTTTTCAGCATGACTGCAGAATAAGCAAACAAACCATTTAAGCGGCAGTTTAGACATTTTTTTATTTTTTTTTGCCTCACTGGATTCTGTTCTACTTGAAGACCTGAGGACCTGATCACTGGCAGCTGCAGGATTAGAGAGGCTCCAGTGAAAAAGCACTGCATCTAAGATAACAACAGCTGATATTAAAATTGCTTCTGAGGGGCTCCGGCTGTGCTTAAGCTATTTTACTCATGCATGTCACCCACCACTTAGGCTGCGGTTTGCGAGCAAGTGAGAACAGCCCATGCATGTGTAAGTTGAACAGCCAAGTCTTGATAGCCTTTTGCTAATAGGTGCTTCTGCTTTAAGCCTTTTCTGCAGAAATCCAGGGTTTTCATTGTGGGATGGAGCCTACTTCTACCACACCAAGGAAATCAAACACAGCTTTTTGGGGGGCGAGGGGTCGCATTGCCTATAATAAAAACAGAGTTCTGTTGTGCCAGGAGATATATCTGTTTTATGTAGCAAAGAGAGGGTGGGGGAAAAAAACCCGACTTATGATTTATGGATATGATTGAACTGGGTGGAAATATCAAAATATACCGGTTTTTGCAAACAAAACTTCAGCACACGGACACAAAAGGAGCTACTTATGCAGCACTTCCAAATATTATAAGCCATGTTTTGTGCCACAGCTAGTGTGAACCACCTCCACCTTGGAACAAGCGATGGTCTTTCGGCTTTCCTCAAGGCACAGGACAGAGAAACCTGTTAAGAACAAGCCACCCAGGCTGATCAATGTTCAAACCACCAAGGCAAAAGACTGGATCGACTAGATCTGACGGACTAGATCTGAGAGACCTGCCCCAGTTTCGGAGTGCTGCAACGCTAAGCTGCCTGCTGCTGCTGCTCTGTTTTCTAGCAAACATTCTTGACCTTGCTACGAAAAGACTACCAAGAGGTATCATGGCCTAAATCCTAGCTAGGACCTCAGAACTTAGTCCTTATCTGTGGACACCTGGAAGGGCTGCTTCTTGTCAGGTGTCACTGCAGATACAATAAAGGCACAGTGAGGAGAAGCTCCAGGTTATCTCTCAAAGTCTCCTACCTGTATTATGGACATCCGGCTTGGGGGAACCTCACTGACGTTAGTCCCTTGCCCTGTGAAGCTGGTGTGGCATCCCACGTGGCCTTGGGGCACGCTCAGGCTGTTGGAAGCGGGTTTCAGGAACATCACCTCAGACCTGGGCGAGCTAAGAGGCAGGCGAGTCTGGTAGTCAAAATACATGGGCGAGGTGGCCAAGGACGGGCTGCTGACCACGTTCATGACGTTGAGGGGTCCCCGGCTGTCCTCCCCTTCGCTGGGCACCAGCATGATGTCATTCTTGCTAATCTTCTTCTTCTTGCCCTTGCCCCCTCCGCTGCCCCCACCCCCGCCCCCGCCCCCGCCCCCTCCACCCAACTGGGGGTGGCTGTACTCAGCAATACGGCAGTTGTAGGTGCGGATGTCCTTGTTCTCACGTTTACACTTCACGGCGATGGTGATCATGGCAGCCAGGAGGATGATGGAAACCGTGCTGAGGGTGACAATCAAGGGCAGGGAGAGGTCCCAGTGAGGCCGACGGTGCTGCTCCCCATTGACCTGGGGTTCTCCGCCTTCAGGCAAAGGTCCAGCCAAAGCCCGGACAATCAGCTTGGCTACTGCTGAAAGACTGGGCTTCCCGTGGTCACTGACCTTCACCACCAGTTCGGCCACAGGACTCAGCTCTTCCCAGTAAGGGTGAAGGGTGCGGATCTCCCCACTTATAGGGTCCATCTCAAAGAGGTGTTCCTCGTTGCCTTCCACAATCTCATAGGTCAGGCGCCCGCTTTCCCCAAAATCATTATCCATGGCCCGGACGGTGCCCACAGGGTAGCCCACGCCAGCATTACGGGGAACCTGGAGTTCGGCAGTGTCGTTGATCAGGGCTGGCAAGACTATCAGGGGGGCGTTGTCGTTGACATCCAGAACAGTGACACGGACGGTGGCATTGCTCTCCCTGTGGGGAGAGCCCGAGTCTTTGGCCAACACGTGGAACTCAAAATGTTTGGTCTGCTCGTAATTGAAGCTGCGCAAAGCGTAAATGGCCCCATTGGTCGGGTTGACCGAGACATAGGTGTAAATAGAGACATCCCCCACGTGTCCCGGCAGAATGGAGTAGGAGACAGTGCCATTTTGGCCCAGATCGGGATCTTTGGCCAAGACAGATCCCAGATACTCTCCTGGGATGTTGTTCTCAGGCACTTGCAGCACATAAAGGGTCTTGCTAAAACGGGGCGGATTGTCGTTCTCGTCTAGGATCCTGACGGAGAAAGACTTGGTGGAGTTCAGAGGTGGGCTGCCCCCATCCCGAGCCAAGATGGTGACATTGTATTCATCCTGCACCTCCCGGTCCAAAGGCCTGTCCGTCACCACCGTATACAGGTTGTCATAGTTCTCCTCTAGAGTAAAGGGCACTGCCCCATCTCCTCCACTGCCATCGCTGCCTTGCACCCGGCACTGCAGCTGCCCATTCTTCCCAGAGTCCCGGTCGGTGACCCTCACCAGGGCAATGACGGTGCCCGGTGGGGCGGCCTCGCTCAGGGCCCCCTGGCGCACAGAGACGAAGCCAATGGTGGGGGCATTGTCATTACGGTCCAACAGGTGCACGGTCACCTTGCAATGGGCCGGAATGGGGTTGGGACCCAAGTCCCGGGCCTGGACGTCAATCTCCACCAAATTGCCCTCCTCGTAGTCCAGGTTGCCCTTGACCCGGATCAAGCCCGTCTGGGGGTCGATGCTGAAGAGCTCCCGCACCCGGTCGGGAGTGTAGCCACTGAAGGAATAGAGCACCTGGCCGTTGGTGCCCTCGTCAGCGTCGGTGGCGTTGAGGTCCAGGAGGACAGTGCCCAGGGGAACGTTCTCGGACAGCTCCACCACGTAGGAGGCCGCCTCAAACACCGGGCTGTTGTCGTTGGAGTCAATCAAGCGCACGTTGAGCTGGACAGTGCCGGAGCGGGGCGGGTCGCCGCCGTCGAGGGCCGTCAGCACCAAGGTGTGGTGGCTCTGCTCCTCGCGGTCCAGCGGCTTCTGCACCACCAGCTCCGGGAACTTGGTGCCGTCGCCTCGGGCTTTCACGTCCAGGGCGAAGAGGCCGTAGTCGTCGCGGGTGAGCAGGTAAGTGCGCAGGCCGTTGTCGGCCGCGTCCGGGTCGTGCGCGCTGGCCAGCGGGAAGCGGGTGCCCGGCGCGGCGTTCTCGGAGATGTCCAGGTCGACTTGGTCGGACGGGAAAGCCGGCGCGTTGTCGTTCAGATCCTGGATCTCCACTTTGATCATGCAGATCTCCTGGTCGTTGGCGAAGACCTCGAGGGAGAGCTGGCACTTGGCGCTGCGGCGGCAGAGCGCCTCGCGGTCCAGCCGCTGCTTGGTGTACAGCAAGCCGCTCTCGCCGTCCACGTCGAGCAGGTGGGGCGCCGAGTTCTCCAGCACGCGGAAAGTGGCCTTGGAGCCGCGGGGACGCTCCAGCGAAGGCGACGAGGCTCCGCCGCTCGACCCGGACTGCAGCCGGGCATCGCGGCCGATGTTGCCGATCACCGTGCCGGCGCCTTGCTCCTCCGGCACCGAGTAGTTCAGGTTCCTCAAAGCCAAGGCTGGAGCCCAACCCAGGAGAGGGAAACACCACCACCAGGTGGGGAGGGACATCCCAGCGGACGGCGCGGACCGGGCAAGCTTCTCCGCCAACGCCAACGCCGCCGCCGCCGCCGCGTTGGCGTCTCTGCTTCCCAGCCGATCGTCGCGCCCCTCCGCGTCCTCCTCCTCCTCGTCGTCGTCCTCTCGCTCTCCCCCTTCAAGTTCCCGAACCTGTTGCTCGGCACGATCGACTCGGCGCAGGCACCGCGGTGGACCAAGCCACGGCAAAGGGCGGTGGAGGCTGCAATCAACCAGTAGGCAAAGGGGAGGGGGGGGGTCTTTCTTGGTTTTTGTTTCCTGGTCCTCCTCCTCCTCCTCCTCCTCCTCCGTGCTGCAGTTTCCCCTTGCTCCGTCCAACTTCAGCCAGGCGGAGGAGGGATGAGGAGCAAAAAAACCCGCTTCAGTTCCACCTCCCCCTTTCCCCTTCCTGGAGGCGACCGAAAGGAGAGGAAGATTAACCCGTTTTCCCAAAGCAGGAGCGGTTTCTTTAAAAAAAATGAAAAATGAAAAAAAAAATGAAAAATCAAACCCTTTCCACGATGCCAAAGATCCTCACGAGAAGCGTAAAAGAAAA